ACTTTTCCCAGAGGATGCCTAACAGAGGTGGTATTTTCTAATGGAGAAAAGTAAGAGCAAGAGCAAAGTTCATGGACCTGGAGTGTTCTTCCTAGTCAGTGTCTTGGAAAGTTCCTGCACCTATCTCAGTTTCCCTGCTGTTAAATCATGAGAAGGATTTTAAAACTATTTTTTTGGATGAGCATACTGATAAAGAGCACTCTACAATACAAGTGGTAACCTGTGTATTCTGATTCTAGGCTGAAATTCTTGAACATAACCTAGAAAGAGACAAGCACACTAACCCCAGAAGAGCAGCAGGGCTGGTGAGTGGGGCACTCTCTGGGGACTACGGGAGACATAAACTCTGTTTCAGAGAAGGCTTCTTCTATCATGGAAGTGTCCTAACCACTAAGCAACAGTGACATTTCTAGTAGTAGATCTGTCTTGCCTCTTCTGCTTCCCCTTTTCTCTATGAAAATACCCAGCAGTGGAAAAGTTCCTGCAATCTCAAAAAGTTTCAGAAGCCCAGAAAAGTATTCATCACCCCGTAAATGTAGGATGTGATTAACGATCAGCGTTCTGCTTGGGAAGAGCCAGCCCCGGGCTGTTCTCCTGCCCTGCCGGACGATGCGGTGCGGTGCGGTGCGGTGCGATGTCTGTGCCGCGGTGGCCTCCCGCACTAGGTGGCAACAGAGAGTCACCACCGTCCCCACCAGCACCAGGGGAAGCCACGGGCGAGCAAGCTGCACCCAGGGATTACAAACCTCAGGCCTTTTTACTTCGCTTTTAATCGCACAGCGCTTTTGCAGCTGTAGTCTGTTCGCAAACTCAAGGCAGCGAACTCGCAGCAAGGAGTAGTGTTCCCGTGTTTAACCAGAGGGAGAAGAAGAGTGAGCATGCAGAAGAAGCGGAGATTTGGTTTTGGGTTGCATTCATGCCTAGTTGCCAAGCATGCCAAAATCATGATCTCAAAAACAACAGTGCAAGTTAGATACCTCCTTTCAGTAAATCCGTGTCTGTATTGATAACTGAGAGATCTGCCTAATAAGCCTAAAATTTACTCCTGCAAATGTAGCTCCCAGCGCTAACTCATAGCTGCAGATGCAGGGCAAAGAACACAGTTCTGGTCCAGTCCAGGAGTCTGCAAATCACTTAGCCACAATCTCAAAGTCCTTTTTACATGCTAAGCTTTTGTTTTTGTGAGTTCAGCATTCTTTCTCAGGCCAGTCCTGTTTAATATCTTTATCAGTGATCTGGACAAGAGGATGGAGTGCTCCTTCAATCTGTTTGCAGACAACAAACACCAAATTGTATGGGAGTGTTGATATGCTGGAGGGCAGGAAGGCTCTAAAATAGCTTGTTCTAGTGGAATTCTATTGCCTGTCCCTTTCCCTTGTATCGAAGTCTGCAGTATACCTCACTAATATCTGAAATAATGAAACATAACTACAAAAGAGCATATCACTGCCTTTAAACTGTCACATTCAAAGAAAACAAACACCCATCTGGCATGTGTTTGGAGCATTATGTTACACCTTCTGTTAGCAACACACTGTTGAACATTATACCAAATTAACATGTCTCAGTAAATCAAAGCTTTCCCTAGGTCTTGGCTTGTACTGTCACAGGGAATTCAAATGTCAGTGTGTGAAAGACTTAATTCTCTGCTCCACCTGCTGCCGATGCCATAGATCAAAGAGGGTGATGTCTGTATGCAATGTATAAAAACTTGCTAAACAAACATGTAACAATCAAAACACTACCTAAAAAAAAACCCCAAACAACACCATGATATATAGTTAAGCATTTTCACCAGTTTAAAACCAAAGAGAGAAGAAAAACCTTTAAAAAATAGGTGCTCTTTGCAATTGCTTCTGGTTTTAGTGGAGAAATTAAAAGTCAAGTGTCTTCTCAGAAGGCAGATGTTTAGCCCTTAAAAGTTTTGGCCTTATCAAAAAGTTTGTTCTGTAACTAAATTCCTACAATATCAAGATTACAAGATGGTGTGACAGTTCTCTTTCTCCTGTTAGTTGTAGTAAGCAAATCAATATGTAGGAATGCTTTATGAAATGCCTAACTAGTTCTGTTGCACCCAAAGTCAATATCAGAACTTATTTTCGTTTTTATGCATGGAACTATCAGAGTTTCAAACAGCACAGATGTGCATATTTTTGAATACCTGGCAAGACATTTGGCTTTCAGTAGCTACTGCTGGCAATTAAGCGGCATTTCCACTCCAGTGAAAAAATGAATACACCTCTCTCTCTCTTATGAAACTGAAATCTACAAAGAAAGTTCATCAAGGAAATTCCAGAAGCAATGATATTAATTCCAGCTAGATGAAAATTCTGTGCTTTCTATTTTGGTAGAAGCAGCAAAAAGTTGCCTCTTCAATTATATTATGAATGTAATTTAGGCCACTCTAAAAGCCCTGGGTCAGGTGTGTCAAGGAACATCTACTTTCTCCAAGCACATAGAAAATGTCTATGACCTTTGATTTCTCAAAATGTCAATTATTTATGTTTTTTGAATTAGAAAAGTTTCTCTCTACTCCTGTGGATTATTCATTGCAGTAATAAACATTAAACTTAATTCTGTAGTCATCCACAAAGACAGAAAAATACCATTGGACCTTACTTTGCAGTGCACAGTGGGAACATTCAACCCTGTAAAAAGCCATAGAAATGACAAATCACCTGAGGCCTTTATAGATATTGGACCATTTTTCTTCTGAGTTGTAAACTAGTAAATTAAGCTTTTGGCGAGTTCCTTGCTTACTCTATTTATTCATTGCACCTGGAATTTTCAAGAAGTCCTAAATTGTGCTCAAAACTTTGAAAATATCTTGCTAAATGTACTTTACAGTTTATTTCCAAATGTGATTGAAAGAGCTTAATGCCCACTCTATTTCAACTGAACAATTACATTTTGGGTAGAAGCTGATGCTGGAAGGCCTCAGAGTTTAGATTAATCTTAGTGGATACACTAGACTAAATTCTCTCTTTCTCCAAAAGGCACTCTAAAACAGAAAAAAGAGTCTCTTTTCCTTCCCTTTTTCTGTCCTTTTTTTATTCCTTCCTTTCTTCTGACTTCCATTTCTGATTTCTCTGTCTTCTAATGTCAGATACAGTGATGAAAAAACATAAAAGAAATCTTTGTTGCCGTGATGAAAATGCATTCTGATAAAGATGCCTCTGTTCTTTTGTTAGTTTTTGGTTTTGTTCTGTTTACCACATGGCTACAAGAGGCCTTCACAGTCATCTCATCCTTTCTGCACAAAGGGATCAGCTTTATCTAGGCCAGTACTGACAAATACTTGTTTTCTATTTTCTTGCAATCTTCAGCGGCAGACTCAAAGCAAGGTGTTCCCACACTTCCTTCTTCTTGCCATTATTTTTTTTTTTCTCTGTGTCTGCTTTGAAACTACCTTGTTGTGACTGAAGCTTGCTTGGATTCATGACAATCATAGGAAAGAGTTTTATCCTTCCTGCTTTGCTTATTTGAAGTTATCATGGCCCACTCAATTGTCTCCCTAAATTGTTCAATCTTTCCACACAAATCATCCAGCTGAAGCTGTGGAAAGACTTGGGTAGCTTTTAAAAATATATAAAACAGGCTATTAAATATATAACAAGGAGCTATCTCAAATAAGTTGTGCACCACTCTTGAGATGGGCTATGTTTCTGAGGGCACAGATGGATAATCCTGCTTTCCATTAAGTTTACTTGCTGTTGTGCAAATTCTGACGAGCATGGTTGTCCCCTAAAGTGTATGGGAGAAAGACAGCTTCCTATTCTTTAATTCAGGAAGCTACACATGTAAAGCAGGTGAAGAAAACAGAGTAGATGTGAAATTCTGTTGTTTTTGAGGAGCATATTTATACACGGTTGTTGCTTTTACGACTTCCAGTTAATGCCATTCTTAATATGACATGGAGAACTTGTTAGTGAGGACTAGTAAGATCAGAATTTGTAGAATGGAGCACCTAACTGCTCTTTTCAAAAAATGATTATGTTCCCTGCACAATTTTTAAAATTGTTTGGATTTTTCCATATCAGTTCATCCTGTCAAGGACTTCCAGGAGAGAACAAAGAGTAGGCAAGCTATATACAAAACCATACAAACCATATACATTTTAAATGCCAAGAATTCAAAGTTGGCACCTCTGTCTTCTAGAGTGAAGTTCCTAAAGAACATTTTTCAGGAATATAGTTTACTATCTCTATTTTATAAAAATGCCCTTAGATAAAATGTCAGAAATTTCAAACTGTTGCAAAGGGCACTGGTTAAAGAGAAATTGTAGGGCTCAGCCATATCACCTGTATTTCCTGAATATCACCAGCATAACATATGAATACTTCCTCTTGCACGCATGGAACTTTTCTTTGTATAATTAAATATGTCTTTCTGCAGAGGGTGGTGAAGACAATTCACTCTTCCTTAGACAATCCAGTGAGAAAATAACTGCAGTATGGGAAGGCCATTCATGCAGAAAATATCAATTCTACAAATATTGTGCAGCAATTTAGAGTATACATAAAACAACACATCCTTCCAATACTTACAGTCCTAGTCTTTGTATATCCTTCTCCTTTGTGCTTGTGAAGCCTGTCAGCGTTCCAGCGATAAGTTAGAATGGCATAATATCTCACTTACCTGGCACAATTTGGACTTTTTTTCTTTTTCATTTTATCAATCCAGCTGTGGAGTTAGCTACACTTAAACTCAACATGTGCTTATGCTGCTCACTGATGGCTATGTTTATTAGAGATAAAAAGAGCAAGGAGGATATAATCCAGTCACCAACAGATTTGAAACATCCTATTGCTAAAGATATTTCTGTGGTGTTCCAAGTTACATTGTAAAATCATTTTTCTGTTGGTCCCACATACCAGCTGCATGCTGACATCACCAATAATTTAACATTGCAGACATCCAAAATAGTCTAACACTTTTCTTCTTCTTCACAGCTGTTCTTGCTTTCAGACTTATGCTTCTGTATTTTTCTTTCCTTCCAGGTAACGCATTTGTGGTGAGCCTAGCTTTGGCTGATCTGGTGGTGGCCTTGTATCCATACCCACTGGTGCTCTTAGCTATTTTCCGCAATGGATGGACACTGGGTGAAACACACTGTAAAGCGAGTGGCTTTGTGATGGGACTAAGTGTTATAGGCTCTATTTTCAACATCACTGCAATTGCAATAAACAGATATTGCTACATATGTCATAGTTTTGCCTATGACAAAGTGTACAGCTGTTGGAATACAATGTTGTACGTCTCCTTAGTCTGGATATTAACAGTAATTGCAACTGTGCCAAATTTTTTTGTTGGCTCTTTGAAGTATGATCCACGCATCTATTCCTGCACGTTTGTCCAAACTGCAAGCTCCTACTATACAATAGCTGTTGTGGTCATTCACTTCATCGTCCCTATCACCATTGTCAGCTTCTGCTACCTTCGAATTTGGGTTTTAGTGCTTCAAGTTCGAAGACGAGTCAAGTCAGAAACAAAGCCAAGATTGAAGCCAAGTGACTTCAGAAACTTTCTTACCATGTTTGTTGTTTTTGTGATTTTTGCCTTTTGCTGGGCACCTCTAAACTTCATTGGACTGGCTGTAGCCATTGATCCTACGGAAATGGCACCAAAAGTTCCTGAATGGCTATTCATTATAAGTTACTTAATGGCCTATTTCAACAGCTGCCTTAATGCAATAATATATGGTCTTCTTAATCAGAATTTTCGGAATGAATATAAACGAATTTTAATGTCACTGTGGATGCCAAGGCTTTTCTTCCAGGACACATCCAAAGGAGGAACTGATGGCCAGAAGAGCAAGCCTTCTCCTGCTTTAAACAACAATAACCAAATGAAAACTGAAACCTTGTAAATGTGTAATAGTCAATGCAAGAGTTTGTCATGGAGAAAACCAACATCACAGTTGTAATGTTCTGGTCATTCCTGCTTAATTCTGGGGAGTTTCCAAGTGGATCACACTTTATGACTGGAATACTGTTTTCATAGTAAAGCACATTGCTCTGGATTAGTGATTTATACAAGATATTAATTGAAAACGTGTTTCAGAATTAAAGCAGCAGGTGGGTGCAAGCTGTTTTAGTTCTGAGAGCTGAATCCTGCTTCCAGATATATGAATGAGGTATTTTTTTTTACTTCAGCGGGAGTTTTGCATTCTTTATACAAGATCAGGATTCAATTCTTTGAAGTTGTAGTGAGTCTATGTGTTCAGCAGCTCATCAAAGCTCTGGAGTGGTATTTTCCTCCCTTCTGTGTCTGAACAGAGGGTGAGACAGACACTCTATTTTTCACACATAAGCCAAACATTGCATTTTTGTGACAGTAATGGTGTCTTTGAATTCAATTTGTAAACTGGAGAGAAGACTATTTGTGTAAAAGCAAATATTAACATTAGAGACTTTCCTCACAGGTTCTTCATATTTACATACATTGAGAATGGGAATACGCTGTGTCTACTCGCTTCATCTTTCGTGGTTAATTTTATGGTAGATAATGTAATTAGTTTATTTATCACAGATTTACCTTACACAATATTCTTCCTTTAGAAAAGATTGAATTTTCATTGAACTTCATTTATTTACCAAAATATCTATATAAAATGTCATTTGATGCACTTTAGTACACCTTACACATTTGTGACAGACTGAAACATGACATGTATGACATGTGATCATCTGGAGTGGCAAATGGACACTAGACAGGATATGCTAGATCATCTCAAATGATGCTAGACTAAAAGAAGAAGCCCTTTTGACTATAATGGTATCTGATATACTTGACTCACATGTCTACATCTAATCTCGAACAAAACCCACTGCTGGTGTCTAACCTATGATAACCTTCAAGGTTCCCAGCAGTGGAGATATGTTTCCTTCCATCTGTGAGGATAAACACACATCCAAGGATAAGATTAATTGCTTTTTGGAGGTGCTGGTCTCCTTTCACTGGCTTTAACAGCAGCTTTGATTAATAGTTCAAACACCTAATTTTGGATAGCTAGAGAGGGCTTTATCTTGTTTAATTTGGGATTAACCCAGTGTAGATATTTGAACACAATCCCTTTTCTAAATACTTACAGTAGTTCTTAGTGTCCTAGGAAATGATTCCTTTTCTTTTGAAACAGATGTCTTTATTGATCAGGGGAGCTGATCAGCAGAACTCAGTAACTGTACCTTCATTGACTCTAAAAAGGATCAGGTAGATCACAAACACACATTTCAGGCAAGCACAGAAATAGTTTACCTGCACTTCATATTTACAGTTCATAAAAATAAAATATTATTTTCCACTTTATTTTTAAACTCAGCTCAAATTCCAACTGGATTTCTGCTTTTCCAGGTAACAAATTTTAACAGTAACTGTGCAGATCAGATTACAATTTGGGTTATATATTCCAGAGCATCACAGTAATTTACACAATGTGGCTATACTATCTCTAAACCAGACTAGGGATCTGTGCACAAGCACACAGTCAATGAGCTTTTTTTACCATTAGGCTTGAAATGCACATTGCTGTTAGCATTTCTTAGCAGTGCTGTTCAGGGTAGAGGAGCTAGGTTTCTGGTAAATCCATGTCAGGTATTGAAATGGGACAATGAGGAATTGAGGTTGCTATTACATTCCAGTTTGGGTTTCCTGACCTGACTATTATGAAAAATATTTCTGCAGTAGTATTAATTTGTACAGCAAACATATTCCTTCTGAAGCCATAAAGATGTATTAAACATCACCCTTATATTGCTAGAGTGATAGAAAAATATCAAAGAACCACAGTATTTTAAATGTCCTATTAGCTTGCCAGAAACTTATGTAAAGTACAGCGAAGTAACAAATGTGATTATTATTTTAGCTGTTTTCACGTTCTTCACATGATTTCTGATAATCTCAGAAATCCAGCACCCTCAGACTCATACAGTGGTGGGCTGACAAGAAGCTGAAAACTTTGTGCATAGGGGTAATGAAGAGATGGGACAAATATAACCTCATGGCAGAAAATAAAAATATTGTGGCTAAAAGTAGCAATCATTAATAAGTAGGTTTTACCTGAAACATGATTTTGTAAGTCTGAAACCATTTTGATACGTATTGTCTTTTCCCATGACGTCCACAACAATATATGGAACACAAAATCAATATACATGTATATCTACATGTTAAATTTACCTCAGAGTAAACAAGCAGTTTCAAAGGTCTCTGAAACTTGTAGGAAAGGATATAAAATTTGATTCCTGACAGTCCTGTTTTTTCTGACTTCTCTGAGTAGTCAAAATTGTGACTTGAAAGTCAGAATTGGTTGTCTGGCTTATCAGTGAACTATTATTAGAAGCAAGTTGGTAGACCTTGGTTTATCTCTCACTGGAATGAGTCAGAATAGAGTCCAAAAAGAATTGGTTTAGCTCCATAAAATAAATTTAAATGTTGGAACCATTTCTTCAGCCACAAAAATGAGCTGCTATCACTCTCAATACTTATGAGGAGCAGACTTCAAATTTGTATAAGGTCATTTTACAAGTTTTATCTGCTCTTTAAAAATTAAATATCACTTTCAGAATCCTTCTTCTGATATGTTCCCAACTACCCTAAATGAAGCTCACACCAGTAATCGAATAGAATCACTGAGTCACGGAATGGCCTGGGTTGGAAGAGACTAGAAAGATCATTTTGTTTCAGCCACTCTGACCTGGTCAGGGACACCTTCCACTAGACCAGGGTGCTCAAGGCCCCATCCAGCCTGGCCTTGAACACTTCCAGGGATGGAACATCCACAACTTCTCCAGGCAGCCCGTGCCAGTGTTTCACCACTGTCACAGAGAGAAGCATTCCAAAATTGGATCTTTCGTCACAAGTGATGGAAAATTTTTGGAACAGTGTTAAATTATTAGGTGTGGATTTTACCACCTTTTACCTGAAAGGGGCCCTGCTCTGCATGGTAGTTGCAAAGCCAACTTTGCTATTATTGTGCCAGGTACCGCTACTTGTTGAGCCCTGATGTGTGGAAAATAACTCATGCCTGTTAAAATAAGTTTTATACCACATATTACTACAAAGCATTGCATTTGAGTTGACCTGGAAAGCAATCAAATCCATAACATTTAAATTTTCATGTAAGTCAATCAAATGCATAAAAAATCTTTAGTTTAGATGACTAAATGTGGCTCTCAATGCTGAAAAGTCTTTGTGTAGAAATGTATATTTCTACCTACATCAGAAGCCTTAAATTAGTTTTCTCCCTTTCCTTATTTTAATTCAAAATCCATTTCCCCAAAGTTAAGTTTGAAGGAAAACTCTATAAATGCACTATCAAGAGAGTTGATATGGTGATAGCATGATTTGAAGGTATAGTCAGGAAGAACATATCAGCTCTGAAGAGATTTATGCATCTTGAAGGAAATTATTACTTTTGTTATATAAAAGTATTTACACCAGCATATCTGATATAGGCACTTTAAGAAAAAAGAGGAAAAAAGTCAGGTAGACCCTGTGTCCTGCACAAGGTAACTAGTGAAGGAAAAACTAGGGCCTCAGGGAAAAAGTCTGTTTCCAGAAAATGTGGAATGTTTTCAAACTTTTAGTGTTACCTTGATTAAAAAGTGTTGTATTTTCTGTTAATTAAAAGAAGTAAATGTATTCTAGAATTGTTCTTACAGTAGATTTCAGATTAGAAAAAAGCTTACTCCCATGTAGATGGGTGAAGATGAGTTGTAAATTCTGTCTCAGTAAAGAGAGTAGTGGAGGTTTGGTAAAGCCTAAATGAGACTGAAAAAATGCATTAGTCTTATTCTGCCTCTCTGTGCTAGTGAAAATATCACTCTCAAGGAAGAATTAAAACTACAGTCATAGTCCTATTAATGTTGACTTTGATGAGATTTCTCACTAAATTATTGACTGAATGGAATAATTCTGCCTGGCTCATTCTCAGGAGCAGAAACATATTTCTGTCTCTCCACTTCTTCCTTTAAGAACGTACGTGGATAAAAATTACAGCTTTCATTTCCCAATTGTATTTTAATGAATTGAACCAGTCTGGGAATTTGCCAATGAATAAATATATATGGAAGATTGTATATATTTCTTAATATGTATATAAAACAGTTTTGGTCATCAGAACAACTTGTTGCACTTAAAGATGTTTACAGATTTAATGGAAAATGAGGAACACAATTTATTTTCAGTCCATTTATTGAAATGTTGCCAGTTTAACTCGATCTTGCACATCATTATTATCTATAATAATAAATCAATATTTTACTTCACATTACAATGAGCATGTAGTGAGACCACTATGAATGTCAGCTGCAGGACACACAGCTGATTCCTGTTTGTTATCTTGTTAGCAACACTTTCATCTGACTAATGAGATTATTTTCTCAGTCTATATTTTTAAATACTTTTGTGGCATAACATTACTCCAGGTTAAGAACATGAAGGAGCTGTGAAAAATTGGGTACTCCTAATTTAACTGGAGTTGGAGGTTGAACCTGGAGGTGACACAGTCTGTGACCCCTTGGACCCAGTCACAGAGATGGAACTGTCCCATTCCGTAACTGTAGAGACTCTTGTGTTCAGCCCTGGGGGTTTTACTCCTTGTGGATAGCTGGGAAGGTCCTATGGAATGTTGCTGTGATTCACCCGCAGAACAAGTTAATCTCATGGCATTGTGCAGGTAAGACTCCAAATAGTTCAGTGGCTGCAGAATGAAGCCTCAAAACTGCTGTATAATGGGAGAATTCCTCTTTGGGAGAACGAAGTAGAACTGGCCACAATAACAGCATTTTTAAAAATAATATTTTATGTCTGAAATACATAGCAACTAATTTTACTCTTCTGTAAACTTACTGAGGTTCCCTTTACCTACAGTCATGTGATAAAATCAACTAAATGCACATGAACTGATAGTGCAGACCTCATAAGTGAGGTCTGTTGATGCCAGATGTGTTTTATTTACAAACTAATGAACAGTGATGCTTTGTTCTAGGAAGGAGGGAAAAAAAGGAG